TGTCCTCCGTGGCGTCCCTTATCTTTCTCATTTTAAAAATTATCAACATACTTTATGTCATGCATGTCAGTTGGGAAAGCATGTGCGCCTCCCTTTTTCATCATCTAGTCGTGTTTCTAGTTTTCCTTTTCAACTTTTACATTCAGACTTATGGCAATCTCCTGTACCCAGTATTACTGGCTTTAAATTTTACATGATCTTATTGGATGATTTTTCGCATTACTTATGGGTGTTTCCTTTACGACACAAAAGTGACGCTTTTAATCATTTAACCACTTTCATAGCATATGTCAAAAATCATTTTAACACAACAATCAAAGCTGTACAATGTGATAATGGAACTGAAATTTGCAACTCTCCCCTTAAAAATATTTTTGACTCCTTAGGCATTCTTTTTAGATTTTCTTGTCCCCACACAAGTCAACAAAACGGTCGAGCTGAGCGCACCCTCCGCACCCTTAACAACACCATTCGATCCCTTCTTTTCCAAGCCCAACTCCTCCCCGAATTTTGGGTGGAGGCCCTTTACATGGCCGCCCACATTTTTAATCTACTTCCCACCACCACTCTAAATAACAACACCCCCCATGCTACCCTTTACAACTCACCACCCTCTTACTCCCATCTCCGTGTTTTCGGTTGTCTCTGCTACCCTAACATTTCCGCCACTACCCCTAACAAATTAGCGCCACGCTCAGCTCGCTGTATTTTTCTCGGTTATCCCTCCAACCAACGCGGCTACCGCTGCTTGGACCTTCAAACTAACAAACTCATAATCTCCCGCCATGTTATTTTTGACGAGTCTAATTTTCCATAAGGTCACCCTCTCACTCCGCACGATTTAAAATTTCTTGACGCCACGGATGACGACCCTACCCCACCCTATCACTCCCTCCTCCCACCCGTAGTCCACCAGCCCACTGCCCACACTACACCTACGGCCCAGCCCAAAGCCCACCGCCCCTCCCCGGACCACATCTCCCAGCACCCCACCTCGGCCCAGCAACCCACCAGCCTTACCCTCTCGGCCAAACCCTCCCCTCATAGCCCACAGCCCGTCTCTCCCTCCCCTCCCCCTTTGCATTCTAATATTAATAAGACATGCGTTATATAATAAAAATGCATCATTTAGAATTTATAATTTTTGTCTTTTAATATATGCAATATATATTTTATTTTTCAAGAAATATAATATTTAAAAATAGGGGCTACATTATTTTGTTTCTAGTAAAATAGTATTTGAATATCATTTATTCATCTCTTTCAAATAATTTTCAGTTACATATTTTTTTTGTTTTAATATGAATTTAAGGTTTGTTTATTTTTTTGCAAACTCAAATTGCTAGTGGTTTTTTTTCAATAGTACAAAAGTATGTAAAAAATAATGTTAAATTCTAAGATGATAATGTTTTTTGTATTTTTATATAAATAAGGCATGTCTTATTTTAAAAAGGTCATTATGGGCCATGTATAACTCTTTTGCTTTTACATATTCATAATATTGTCTTTAAGCATGTAAATATTAAAAAAAAATTCTATCTTTTAAGAATAAATAACTTATATATAAAGTAATTTTCAAATTTTTTTATATAAATAAAGTGTGTATCATTTAAGAATATAATACTTAAATTTTAACCATGAATAAAACAATTAGTATTTAAGAACATTATTTGATCGTAATGCATTTATAAGAATTAATACCATAAATTATTTTGGTCAATTTCGCAGAAGAAAAAATAGAGAAAATATGACCTTGTGCGAAAAATTAAAGGCCATCCCTCAAAAAAATTTATATCCTTAAAGGCAATGCATAAAAAATTCATAGAAGTCAATGATGACATAGTTCTTGAAGTGGTTAAAAAATGTCCAGTTAGGATGCCCAATTTTAGTTTGCTCTATAATGTGTCAATTGTATAGTTCTTCCATGTTTATACAATTGAAACTGCTCACTGTGCAACGCACAATTTAAATTATACACTTACATGTTCTTTTGTATTTCTATATAGATGAAGTTCTATTAGCAAATGTTTACAGTATATCATTCGTTATATTCTAAAGGTCAATATTATATTTTGCTTATTTTTTTAATCATTAACTACGAATAAAAAAATAACAAGGTAAAAAAGAATATTCGTCTCATCTGTATGTGGCACGCACGGGTCAAAATACTAGTTTTATACGGAGTATATAAAGATAAAGATGGGTGATCATATCAGTTTTTTTTAAAGAAGTAATGACAATGCACTTAATTAAGAACTCATTTGGAGTGCACATTACTGAGTATATACATCAATTTTCATTAGGGGAGAAAAGGTTCTAGTTTATACTCAGTAATCTATTGTAGTTGCAGAAAAGTTTCCATTCTTCTATTTTGTTATTCTCAAAATAATCTAAAGCATTCATTTTTTTCTTTTTTTATAGAAACTATTAGTACTACGTAATTTTTTGTGGTTTAATATGCTTTTATAAATTAAAAATATATGAATAGAAAATACTCTCTTCATCCCAAATTAAATTGTCTGTTTACTATTCACATGATCAACCTTCATTTACTTTTCTTTACCTATTTTTGTTACTCATTTGATACAATAATATAGTCATGCCACCACTAGTTTTGTATATTTTTTTATATAATTTTTAAATATGTAATTTTTATTTTTTAATTTTACATTCTTTTTCATATAAAATAATTTGAAAAATAACTCTAGTCAAACATCGTAAACCGAATCAAACGATTTTAATTGGGACGGAGGAAGTATGTTGTTATAAAATTATTAATAATAAAAAATATTGGTACCATTCAAAGAAAAGTACGCCCTTCATCCAACAATTATCTTCTCATTGCGTATTACAATATTTGATTGAAATTATTTTGAAATCATTTTATATAAAAAATGATGGCTGATTAAAAATTAAAAATTACATTTTTTCAAAGCATATCCTTCTTCCATATCTTTCTTCCCAGAGTACTATTCTAGTTTCACGGAAACTTTTACTTATTTTCATTTTTTCATGGCATATATAATAAAATAAAATATTTTTGTCACCACTTTTTTATTGAACTTTTGATGTAGTTTTTAAATATGTAAATTTTATATTTTATTTCTATACCAATATTTAAATAAAATATTTTGAAAAAACTTGTGGTTTTTCTTCGTTTTGCGCAACGGGAAGAAAGATATGGGACGGAGACATCAAAAGTTCGATTAAACTAGAGGTGATATAACTATATTAATTTATCAAATAGACAACAAAAATAAGCTAAAAAATTATATAAAATCTAACTTTGTTAGTAGTGAACGGGAAGATAATTGTGAAATAGAAAGGGATTATAATACTCCCTCCGTCCCATAAAACCTTTCTCCTTTCTTTTTTATCCGTCCCACAAAACACTTCTCATTTCTATTAAAAAGTCACTTTTACCCCTTACTTTTTCATACCCTAACTATCACATCATACCTTTTTACTAATAATCTTTCCATCAAATCATATTTTTACCCATCACATCAAAGGGCATTTTTGGAAATTCAATACTAAAATACACTGCCCTTAAATTCCTCCTAAAAAGCAAAACTCTCATGTTTCATGGGACGGAGAGAGTATGAAATATACATAGTGAAAGTATCATATTGGAATTTGGAAGTACCAATTGAAGGAGCGTCTTATTCCCAAACTTGAGGATGGATACCAAACCTTTTCCTCTCCAACTCCCCTTCTCTACCCGCTAGCTGCAATCTACAATGGCCATGCCCAGAAACAATCCCTTCCCTTCTCCCCCAAACTTCCTAAAACCATTTTCTTTCTTCAATTCCCCTTCCCCTATTTGCATCTTCTCAAGCAAAGCATCCATCTCCTACCATTCCAATTCCATGCATTCCCCAATTCTTACATATATAAACCCCACATGGGAACCCTATTTCAGCACAAGACATTTTCTCCCCCCAGAATTTCAATATCCAAATCAAACCCAGAAGAATCCATTTTTTTTCATTTCTATTTTGAAAAAGAATGGCATCTTCAGAAGCAGGAGTGCGCATGACACCAAGTACCAACAAGTATTCGAATAGGGTAATCTTGAAGACTATATTTGAACGGAGCGATGGCGGGGTGGGATTTGCAGGCCAGAGAGTCGTGATTGGAGGGTGGGTTAAGTCCTCCAGGGAGATGAAGGAGGAGGCTGAGCTTTCTCAGAATGTGGGGACTAAAGATGCCAGGTGCATGGAAGCTCTTCGTTTCCCACTTCTCAGGTCAATCTGGAAGGCTTT